GTGTGTGTGTGTGTGTGTGTGTGTGTGTGTGTGTGTATGTGTGCTTGCTCTTTCATCATGGTGATACAAAGGAAGGAAGTTATGTGAGGTTAGTGACAGTGCCTGCCAGCTGGATCAAATAGAGATTAATTACAATTTCTCATTAGGATTTGCAGCTGGGTGAGGCCTTCTCTAATGGTGCCTGCTCTAAAGGAGGCTTTGGTCTCCTGCAGTGGACCCTTCCATCTGTGTTCCAATCCTTGTCTTTCCCCAATACTTGGACTGTCTTCTTGTTCTGTTGTACTGAACATGTAGAGGCTCAGGGACAGAAGCCTCAAATCCATACCAGAGATTATCTTTACCTTAGTTGGAAAGCCCTGGAAGTGGACAGAGTTCTTGAATTAGGTGGTTACTAGAGCCACCTGAGAGATGGCCTACATTGCCATGAGAACCTCTCTTTATGACTTCATAGTAGACACAGGGCCTTGACTGTCCCGGGGGATGGGTGTCAGGTTCTTAGGCTCATCCTTTTCCATCTGGGGATTGGACCCAATTCCAGTCTACACTTGACGAACTGGGTCCCAATGAGTCTAGGTGTGGCTGCTGCCTCCACCCTGTGGAGACAGTGACTTTCTGACAAGCTGTTGCCTAGCCCTACCTGGTCTCTCTCAACTTTCTGATCCTCACTTTGCAGCTTTCACTATGGGAAGAGGGCCCCTGGCATGTGCCTAGGAGGATCTATACTGTTGGATGTAGAGAGTGGACATCGTAGGGATACTCTGAATCTCCTGGAGCACAGTGGCAGCAGGGAGGAAAATATGGAAGGGAGTATTAACTCTCTGGATTTCAACCCTCCACATCCTCAGTGCTGAAGCTGAACTGTCAGGGGGCTGTTTCCATTTGGAAGGGGGTGTGGCCTTTGGAGCTAGGTCTTTAATCCTGTGACTCTGCCTGCCAGTTATTTTAGGTTTTCTGTCCTTTGGTAAGAAACTTTTATTTCTGTGGCAAGAGGAAGATCCTGGTGCAGCATTCCTAAGGGGTAAGGGTGGGATAAGTCATTCAGTCCCTCCCTCCTAGACAGGAGATGCCACAAAGGGGCTGAGGCGGCAGATCTGCCTAGCAATGCCCAGACTTGCCAGAGGATTGAGGTCATCAGTGAGCAAACAAACAGAAAATGACAAGACACACAGCATAGCAATAGACACTAGGTCAGCCAGGAAGGGGTGAGGAGTGCCTGGGTCTCTATTACCTTGGCTTAAAGCTATTTTACAGGAAGTGTGTGGTGTGGTGTGGTGTGTGGTGTGTGTTTGTGGTGTGTGTGGTGTGTGTGTGTGGTGTGTGTGTGTGGTGTGTGTGTGTGGTGTGTGTGTGTGTGTGTGTGGTTGTGTGTGTATGTGTAATCCTGTACAAAGTACTTGCTCTTGAGCCATGGAGCCTTAGGCAGTGAGTTTTGAGGTGAGCATCTGTGGGAAGTTCTGGACCTGTTTCTTCACCTTTTTGTCTGCATCTGGTTTTTTAAGGTCCCCAACCTGAGACAAGACTCAGGAGGATTCAGCACCATGTTGCTTTCTCTTGCTTTTCTTTCTGAGGGTAGCCTCCTCCACTGTTTATTTTCTCTGCCTTCTTGTCTCTGTCTCCTTTTTCACTCCATTTCTCTCTTTTCTCTAACTTAAAACAATGTACTTAAAGGATTCAGAGCCTCCATGTAACTTGGATGTTCAGCTTCTTAGGATCCATCCATTCTTTTGGGGCTAGACAGGCTGTTTCCACAGCAGCAACTCATTCCCATACAGGGCTCCTGAGCTCTAATCTTCATATATACCCCACCCCTACCATTATCCCTATGTTGGGTATGGAGAGCAAGTCCCCAGTGTTAGAGCTGGCAAGTAGGTTAGGGGTCAGTCTAGCCCACTATGACATAGGGAGTCATAGCAGTCTTGTCACCCTAGATACAAGATTCTATCCCAAGCCAGCTCTGTTGCCAATGTCTTCTTGCCAACTGATACAAGTAGTGTGTTATCCTCTAACTGGGTCTCTGGCTGCCCTCATCCCCTCCTGAGGGGTGATCCCCCTTTTATCCAGGAGTAGTTACCATTTTTGAAGCCTCCTATCTCTAAAACCTTGGCTACCACACACTGCCTTCCCCTCAGAATAAGCTTCTCCCCTACTCCATACCTCTTCTTCGAAAGCCAGCTGCTCACAGGCTCCCCAGAGTCTGCCCAATGTCTTAAACCCAAGGCACTTTGTCCAGAGCTACTTTCTGAAGTCTTTCTGCTATCCTGTTTCATTGAGGATTGAACTGAACCCAAGTTTGTTAAGACCCTGGTAGGGCTGCCCTTTCTGGCCTCTGCTCACCAGCCTGTCTCACTTCCAGCCACTGTTCTGTCAAGTTTCATAGGCTGGCTCAGAGCAGATGGCTGCTAGATTTCACTCACTTCTTTTTAGGATCTTTGTATGACTTCCCAGTCTTAAGAATCTTTCTCTAGTCTCTATCCTTGTGTCTCACTAAATACTATTCAAACTTGAGGTTCTTTAAAGTACCACTCACTTAAATGAACTTCCTTGGTTCATTAGTTCAGTCCCCATGTTTTCTTACAGCTTCCTGCACCAAATGCTGTTAGCATTTAATAAGTCATTGACTTTTCTGCTTGTCTGTTTCATTAGTACAGATATCCTCATCTTGCTCACTACTATCCTAACAACTGAAATTGTGTATGACATTATGTGGACCTCGTTAATTAAGTAATGAGTAAAGACACAAGCCAGAAAGAGAGAAGATCCACAAGATAAGGCTTGTGTATATTACCTGATCTGGTCACACACTTCTTTTTCAGGCTCCTCTTAGTTCACCATTTCCATTCTTGACTTCTGCTGTTAACTGTTGTTTTCTGGATGGGTTCAGCAGATGGACAAATGCTGGATCTTCCTCAGCAGCCTAGTGAGTCCATGACTATCAGAAGCCAAAGTCTTCTGAGCCAAGTGGCCCCCTTGCCTCTCCTCAAATCTCTCAGCTCCTCTATGACATCATAATTCTCTCCCCAAGACTCTATGACTAGTGGGCTGACTCACCTTTGCCCACTGCTGGTCAAAGTATCTGCCTCTTCTCAGCTGTTTTTGCCAAAGGACAGTTATTTAGCTGGTTCACAGCATCCAATCACCCAAAACAAAAGTTTAAAGCACAAATTTTGTTGTCTAGTCAGACACACTGTATCTTAAAAAGCCAAATAGAATACAGCAGACCAGGCTGGGGGTCAGAAGCACTTCTTGGAAAAGGCCATGTTTACTGGGACTTTGTCATCGGAAATGGGACATGGGAGTGTGTGAGAAGAGACATTTCAGATCTGGAAAATGTAAAAGCATTTGGAATGAGAAATGGAAGAGGAGCACTTGGTAATAAAGCTCAGTGTAACAGGGTCAGAGGAGGAAGGAGCAAAGGTAGACGGAAGTACAGGAGACAGAAGTTGTGTTGAGGATTTGGATGAGTAAGCTCAGATCATATCCTGGGGACAATGGAAACTACTGGAGGAATTTACACTGGGGACATGGGCCTCTTCTCACTCACTTTGATATTCCTAGAGTTCAGCCCAATCCTTTGAGTAGCAGATTTTGAAGCTAAGTGCTGTTTTATTACCTAATGTAGGAGACAATTGGGTTACATTCACTCTGTTCGTTCTGTTACCCCAGTCTCTTAAGTAGTTTAATTTGAGTTCCCATTAGTAAATTATGTTTTTATTTTGATTTTTAATTTTAATTTTTAAAGATTTATTAATTGAAAATAGAGTTTTTCATACACTATGTTCTGATCACAGTATCTCCTCTCCCAGTTCCTCCTCCCCTCCCTACCCAACCAAATCCACACCCTTTCTTTTTTTCTCTTATTAGAAAAAAACCCAGGCATTTAAAAGTAAAAAAAAAAATAAGAATAGGTCAAAACAAACAAACAGAAGAAAAAGAACCAAAGAAAAGGCACAAGAAACATACAGATTCAGAGACACACACACACTCACACATCCCATAATAATACAAAATTGGAAACCATAATATATAAGAAAATGACTTATAATTAAAAAAGCTCAGACAAAACACTATGAAACACAAAAACCTCCAAAAATAACACTGAGTTCCTTTTCTTTTGACTGTTTACTGCTGGGTATGGGGCCTATCCTTAAGTGTGGTTTGTATACTTAGTGAGACTCCATTGGAGAAAACTAGCTTTTCATTTGTGACCAGTTATCAATTTAGAGAACTTCTGGGTTAGGGATGGGGGCTTGTGTCCACTTCCCTTATCAGTACTAGGACCCCTTCTGGCTTAGATCCAAGCATGCTGCCTGTACTGGCTGGTTTTGTGTGTCAACTTGACACAAGCTAGAGATCAGAGAGGAAAGAGCCTCAGTTGAGGAAATGCCTCCATGAGATCCACCCATAGGGCATTTTCTCAATTATTGATAAATGAGAGATGGCCCAGACCATGGTGGGTGGTGCCATCCTTAGACTGGTGGTCCTGGGTTCTATAAGAAAGCAGCCTGAGCAAGCCATGAGAAGTAAACCATGAGAAGCAAGCCAACTAGCGGCACCTCCCCACCCTGGCCCTGCCCATGGCCTCTGCATAAGCTCCCGCCTCCAGGGTCCTGCCCTGCTTGAGTTCCTGTCCCTACTTCCTTCTATAATGAACAGCAATATGGAAGTGTAAACCAAATAAACCCTTTCCTCCCCAACTTGTTTTCTGGTCATGATGTTTTGTCACAGCAATAGAAACCTCGACTAAGACACTGCCACACTCTATGAGTTCAGTACTGTTGTGTTTAGGAAGGCTTGTTTCCTTGGTATCTTCCATTCTTACTGGCTCTCAAAATCTTTCCCTCCTCTTCCACAGAGTTCTCTGAGCCCTTAGGGGAGGGATTTGATTTAGTCATCCCGTTAGGTCTCTCACAACTGCACATTGTCTGGTTGCGAGTTCTATATTTGTTTCCATCTACTGCAGGAGGAAGCTTCTCTGATGATGGCTGAGTGAATCTGTGCTTCTCTGTATTCCCTTCCTTACCCATACTTCCCCCCTTCTCTGTTTAATCCTCCTGTTCTAGTCTCTCTCCCTCCCACTCACCCATAACTATATACTCCATTGCCTATTCCTCAGAATATCCTTCCCTTCCCCATGCCTTAATCTCTTACTCTAAACCTAATCTTTGTGCTTATATGGATTATGGCTTGCTTATCAAATACTTAAAAATTAATATCTACATATAAGTGAATACATGTATTATTTGTCATGGCCAGAGAGATGGCTCAGTGGTTAACAGCACTGGATGTTCTTCCAAAGGACCTGGGTTCAAGTCTCAGCACCCACATAGCAGCTTACAACTGCCTCTACCTCTATTTGCAGGGGATATGACAGCCTCACACAGGCATGCATGCAGGCAAAATACCCATGCACATAAAACAAAAATAAATAAATATTTGTCTTTTGTAGCTGGGTTCCCTCACTAGAGATGA